GGGTCTGAATACTTCTACCAATGTGATGTTTAAATTTTCCCGGTTTCATAAATTTGCAAACATTTTTAAAATTCTGTTTTCACTTTGTCATTAATTAACTTTTTCTTGTTAATCTACAGTCATGTAAACAACTATCAGGCAGTAACATAACAAAATTGAAAAAAGTGAAGGGGGTCTGCAATTGTTATGAAATATATATATATATATATATATATATATATATATATACATACACACACACATACATACATACATACATACATACACACACACACACAGTGGGGCAAAAAAGTATTTAGTCAGCCACCAATTGTGCAAGTTCTCCCACTTAAAAAGATGAGAGAGGCCTGTAATTGGCATCATAGGTAGACCTCAACTATGAGAGACAAAATGAGAAAAAAAAATCCAGACACATCGGCTGATTTGGAAAGAATTTATTTGCAAATTATGGTGGAAAATAAGTATTTGGTCACCTACAAACAAGCAAGATTTCTGGCTCTCACAGACCTGTACCTTCTTTAAGATGCTCCTCTGTCCTGCACTATTACCTGTATCAATGGCACCTGTTTGAAAACTTGTTATCAGTATAAAAGACACCTGTCGTCCACAACCTCAAACAGTCACACTCCAAACTCCCACTATGGTGAAGACCAAAGAGCTGTCGAAGGACACCAGAAACAAAATTGTAGACCTGCACCAGGCTGGGAAGACTGAATCTGCAATAGGCAAGCAGCTTGGTGTGAACAAATCAACTGTGGGAGCAATAATTAGAAAATGGAAGACATACAAGACCACTGATAATCTCCCTCAATCTGGGGCTCCACGCAAGATCTCACCCCGTGGGGTCAAAATGATCGCAAAGAACGGTGAGCAAAAATCCCAGGACCACATGGGGGGGACCTAGTGAATGACCTGCAGAGAGCTGGGACCAATGTAACAAAGGCTACCATCAGTAACACACTACACCGCCAGTGACTCAGATCCTGCAGTGCCAGACGTGTCCTCCTGCTTAAGCCAGTACATGTCCGGGCCAATCTGAAGTTTGCTAGAGAGCATTTGGATGATTCAGAAGAGGATTGGGAGAAATGTCATATGGTCAGATGAAACCAAAAATAGAACGCTTTGGTAGAAACACAACTCGTTGTGTTTGGAGGAGAGAGAATGCAAAGTTGCATCCAAAGAACACCATACCTAATGTGAAGCAATAGGGGTGCGGCAACAATCATGCTTTGGGGCAGTTTCAAAAAAAACGCAAAGGGACCAGGACGACTGATCCATGTACAGGACAGAATGAATGGGGCCATGTATCGTGAGATTTTGAAGTGCAAATCTCCTTCCATCAGCAAGGGCATTGAAGAAGAAAAACGATAAAACAAAAGTGGATATCCAACATGACAATGATCCCAAACATACCGCCCCTGGGCAATGAAGGAGTGGCTTCGTAAGAAGCATTTCAAGGTCCTGGAGTGGCCTACCAGTCTCCAATCTCAACCCCATAGAAAACCTTGGAGGGAGTTTGAAAGTCCGTGTTGCCCAGCGACAGCCCCAAAACACACTGCTCTAGAGGAGATCTGCATGGAGGAATGGGCCAACATACCAGCAATAGTGTGTGCCAACCTGTGAAGGCTTACAAGGAAACGTTTGACCTCTGTCATTGCCAACAAAAATATAACAAAGTATTGAGATGAACTTTTGATATTGACCAAATACTTATTTTCCACCATAATTTTGCAAATAAATTCTTTCCAAATCAGCCAATGTGATTGTCCTGGATTTTTTTTTCTCATTTTGTCATCGCTCATAGTTGAGGTCTTTTACCTATGATGCCAGTTATAGGCCTCTCTCATCTTTTTAAGTGGGAGAACTTGCACAATTGGTGGCTGAAACTAAAAAACTTTTTGCCCACGCATATAAATATATATAACATAATATATATATATAATATACCAAATATATTATACCCTACACACACACACACACACACACAAACACACACATATATATAAAAATATATTATACACACACACATATACACACACACAAACATAATATAAATATATATATATATACACACATACACAACACACACACACACTACACAAACTACACAAAACAACAGGTCCTTAAAATATTTGGACACAGGCACTCGAAAAATTAGAGTATCGTACAAAAGTTAATTTCAGTAATGCAACGTAAAAGGTTGAAACGAATATATGAGATAGGACTCATTACATGCAAAACAAGATAGTTCAAGCTGTGATTTGTCATAATTGTGATGATTATGGCTTACAGCCTCATGAAAAATCCCCTATCAAATTTCAACAATCTCAGAAAATTTAGAGTATTGTGAAAAGGTGCAATATTTCTAGGCTCAAAGTGTCCCACTCTAATCAGCTAATTAAGCCATAAACACCTGCAAAGGGTTCCTGAGCCTTATTAAATGGTCTCCAACAGTCTGGTTCAGTAGGAATCACAATCATATGGAAAGAATGCTGACCTGACAGTTGTACAGAGAACCATTCATTGACCACCCTCCATAAGGAGGGAAAGCCTCAAAAGGTATTGCAAAAGAAGTTGGATGTTCCCAAAAGTACTGTATCAAAGCACATTAATAGAAAGTTATGTGGAAGGGAAAAGTGTGGAAGAAAAAGGTGCACAAGCAGCAGGGATTGAACCGCAGTACCTGGAGAGGATTGTCAGGAAAAGGCCATTAAAAAGTGTTGGGGACTTTCACAAGGAGTGGAGTAAGGGTGGAGTCTGTGCATCAAGAGCCACCAAACAAACAACACACAGACGGATCCTGGACATGGGCTTCAAATTGTCATTTTCCCTATTGTCAAGCTCACTGAAACAACAAAACTTCAAAAGCGTCTTACCTGGGCTAAAGAAAAAACAGACCCTGGTCTGTTGCTCCAGTGGTCCAAAGTCCTCTTTTCTGATGAGAGCAACTTTTTCATCTCATTTGGAAACCAAGGGGATCCCAGAGTATGGAGGAAGAATGGAGAGGCACACACCTGCAAATGCTTGAAGTCCAGTGTGAACGTTTCCACAGTCTGTGTTGATTTGGGGAGCCATTCCATCTGCTGGTGTTGGTCCACTGTGCTTCATTAAGTCCAGGGTCAACAAAGCCGTCTACCAGGAGATTTTGGAGCACTTCAATGCTTCTTCCACAGGTGAGCTTTATGGGGACTGCGGACTTCATTTTCCAGCAGGACTTGGCACCTGCCCCACACTGTGCCAAAAGCACCAAAACCTGGTTCAATGACCAGCAATGGCCAGCAAACTCGCCTGACCTGAACCCCATAGAGAATCTATGGGTCATTGCAAGAGAAAGATGAGAGGAACACGAGACCAAAACAATGCAGAAGAGCTGAAGGCCGCTATTGAAGCATCCTGGTCTTCCATAACACCTCAGCACTGCCACAAGCTAGATAGCCTTCCATGCCAAGATGCATTGAGGTAGTAATTGCTGCAAAAGGGGGCCCAAACCAAGTACTGGAGTACATATGCATGCTTATACTTTTCAGAGGTTCCGATAATGTGCTATGTGCAAATCCATTGATAGAAAAAAGATTGCGCACATGCGCTCCCTATATATTTATATATACAGCTTAAGCTTCTAAAGTGTATCAAAATAACAATATTACAAATATGAACTGTGACTATACCGCTAAATGCATATGAAATAATAACATATAGATAGCATGCATGGTAAATTAATCCTAAAGCAATAGTGCCTTAAATGGGTGCCCTACGGTATAAAACCTATGATTGCACCTATATATAACTGTGTATACTCTATAACTAATAGTGCAAAAGCATATGTGCACGTGCTAAACAAATAAATATACAGTCTTTAAAATAAAATGTGCAGGTGGATATTCTGTTCCTTTTCTCCGAGTGCTAGATGGTCTCCTTATATGCTCACCTCTATATTTGCCTGAATGAATCCAGGCAAATACGCTTTTTAATCCTTCCAGGATAGATGAAATGGGATGATGCCTTTGCTCTAGCCCTCCTATGAGGTGGACAAGCATATGGATGGATTCCTCCTGTTATCTCCTTTATCTCCCTGTGTATCTATGAGTACACTGAATAGCTCTCTTGGGATCTCCCAATTCCCCTCCTGGGGTTGTTTTCCTCGTTCACTCCTCCTTATATCAGCTCATGGGATGTTTGGTCAAAAAGAGGAAAAAGCAGACCATAGTGTCTTATCCTTATACACAAAATGGATTTATTTCTGCCAATAACAGGTATAACTTGATGGTATGCAGCTCATATATGATCCAGACAGGCATAGATGGCAATCAGCAGGTAAAAAGTAGTAAAAAAAACCTCTCTGCAGCTGCCCCTCAGTGCTGTCTGCCTGTGCTTGTGCTCGGATCTGCTCGCTTCTCCAGTGCAATGTCGTGACGTCAGAGCCCCTCCCCTACGCGTTGCGTCACACAGGGTCAGGTGACTTCATCAGGGGAATTTGATTGGACTCCAATCAAATTCCCCCTGATGAAGTCACATGACCCTGTGACGCAACGCGTAGGGGAGGGGCTCTGACGTCACGACATTGCACTGGAGAAGCGAGGCAGATCCGAGCACAAGCACAGGCAGACAGCACTGCAGGGGCCAGCTGCAGAGAGGTTTTTGTTAGGAATGGACTGGCCAGCAATTGGTGGGACTCACCTGCCTTTTGATCTCAGTACCAGGGCTGCCAGCGGGTGCTCCCAGCAATCAGAGAACTCAACCTTTCAGGCCAGCTAACACCTGGAACTGATGATGCTGGGGTATTTAAGGGATGGCCAGACCCACAGACTCTGCCTTGGTGTTGTGTTTGTCCCTGGGCCCTGTATCTGTCCTGCATCCTGTTTCTGTCCCTCTGCTTGTTACCCGTTTTGATCTCTGGCTTGTGACCCTGACCATACCCTCTGCCTGACCCTTTGTACTACGCTGCTTGCTTACCTGCTGAACCTGGCCTGTGACCCCGACCATCCGGGGGACCGATGCATGACGCCCCGCCCGGGGGCCCGGTGCCTGCTGCCCCGCCCGGGGGCCCGGTGCCTGCTTGCCCCCCCGGGGGCCCGGTCCTGCTGCTCCGCCCGGGGGCCCGGTGCCTGCCTGCCCCGCCCGGGGGCCCGGTCCATGCTGCCCCGCCCCTGGGGGCCCGGTGCCTGCTGCTCCGCCCGGGGGCCCGCTTGCCTGCTGCTTGCCGCCCGGGGGGCCCGCTGCCCGCCTGGTGGCCCGCTGCCTGCTGCTTCGCCTGGTAATACCGATGTGCCTCTGCCCGGAGTCCTGCCCGATGTGCCTCTGCCCGGAGTCCTGAGCCCGATGTGCCTCTGCCCGGTGTGGCCGCCCTCTGCCCGGTGTGCCTCTGCCCGGTAGTCCAGCCCGGTGTGCCGCTGCCCCGGGTGTCCTGCCCGGTGTGCCAGTCTTTTGAATATCCCGCCAGTTACCAGACCCGGGCGTGGAACATTTTGCCCAGCTAGGACTGTTTGGAGCGTCCTGAGGCCGCTCCTTGGGGGGGGGTACTGTTTAGGAATGGACTGGCCAGCAATTGGTGGGACTCACCTGCCTTTTGAATCTGCAGTAACCAGGGCTGGCCACGGGTGCTCCCAGCAATCAGAGACTCAACCTTTTCAGCCAGCTAACACCTGGAACTGATGATGCTGGGGTATTTAAGGATGGCCAGACCCACAGACTCTGCCTTGGTGTTGTTTTTGTCCTGGGCCCTGTATCTGTCCTGCATCCTGTTTCTGTCCCTCTGCCTGACCCTCTGTACTACGCTGCTTGTTACCTGTTTTGATCTCTGGCTTGTGACCCTGACCATCCCTCTGCCTGACCCTTTGTACTTACGCTGCTTTGCTACCTGCTGAACCTTGCCTGTGACCCCCGACCATTCTCTGCTTGCTCCCCTGTACCTACCTGCCCAATTGGATATTGACCCGGCCTGCCTGACGACGCTTGCTTGTATGTACTGTTATCTGTGGTGGTTTGGTTTGTTTGCACTGTATTATGTTTAGTATTGCACTGCGTTTATGTTTGTATGGTGGTTAGTGTTAATAAATTGTATTGTTTATCACATATCTGAAGGTCTGCCGTTTCCCTGCATCAGTCACACACCTCCTGGCTGTGTTGGTCATACCTGGGAGCCCTGACAGGTTTCTTTTTACCTACTTTTTACTGCTGATTGCCATCTATGCCTGTCCTGGAATCATATATAGCTGCATACCATCAAGTTATACCTGTTATTGGCAGAAAAAATAAATCCATTTTGTGTATAAGGATAAGACACTATGGTCTGCTTTTTATTCCTCTTTTTGACCAAACATCCCATGAGCTGATATAAGGAGGAGTGAATGAGGAAACAACCCCAGGAGGGGAATTGGGAGATCCCAAGAGAGCTATTCAGTGTACTCATAGATACACAGGGAGATAAAGGAGAGATAACAGGAGGATCCATCCATATGCATGTCCACCTCATAGGACGGCTAGAGCAAAAGGCATCATCCCATTTCATCTATCCTGGAAGGATAAAAAGCGTATTTGCCTGGATATTCATTCAGGCAAATATAGAGGTGAGCATATAAGGAGACCATCTAGCACTCGGAGAAAAGGAACAGAATATCCACCTGCACATTATTTTAAAGACTGTAATATACAGTCTGTAATCATGGCCGAAATTGTTGGCACCCTTGATATTTTTTCCTGAAAATCAAGTATTTCACACAAAAAAGGTATTGCATTAACACATGTTTTGCTATACACATGTTTATTCCCTTTGTATGTATTGGAACAAATATAAAACAGAGGCAGAAAAGCAAATATGACATAATGTCACACAAAACCCCAAAAATGGGCTGGACAAAAGTATTGGCACCCTTAACTTAATATTATGGTTGCACACCCTTTGGAAAACATAACTGAAATCAGTCGCTTCCTATAACCATCAATAAGCTTCTGACACCTCTCACCCCGGAATTTTGGACCACTCTTCCTTTGCAAACATGCTCCAGGTCTCTCTTATTGGAAGGACAAAAAGCACCTTTTCCCAACAGCAATTTTAAGATCTCTCCACAGGTGTTCAATGGGATTTAGATCTGGGCTCATTGCTGGCCACTTCAGAACTCTCCAGCGCTTCTTTGCCATCCATTTCTGAGTGCTTTTTGACGTATGTTTGGGGTCATTGTCCTGCTGGAAGACCCAGGATCTTGGACGCAAACCCAGCTTTCTGACACTGGGCCCTACAGTGCGACCCAAAATCCTTTGGTAATCCTCAGATTTCATGATGCCTTGCACACAGTCAAGGCACCCAGTGCCAGAGGCAGCAAAACAACCCCCAAACATCATTGAACCTCCACCATATTTTTAACCGTAGGTACTGTGTTTTGTTCTTTGTAGGCCTCATTCCGTTTTCGGTAAACAGTAGAATGATGTGCTTTACCCGAAAAGCTCTATCTTGGTCTCATCTGTCCACAAGACGTTTTCCCAGAAGGCTTTTGGCTTACTCAAGTACATTTTGGCAAACTGTAGTCTTGCTTTTTTATGTCTCTGTGTCAGCAGTGGGGTCCTCCTGGGTCTCCTGCCATAGCGTTTCATTTCATTTAAATGTCGACGGATAGTTCGCGCTGACACTGATGCTCCCTGAGCCTGCAGGACAGCTTGAATGTCTTTGGAACATGTTTGGGGCTGCTTATCCACCATCCGGACTATTCTGCGTTGCAATCTTTCATCAATTTTCCTCATCCGTCCACGACCAGGGAGATTAGCTACAGTGCCATGGGTTGCAAACTTCTTGATAATGTTGCGCACTGTGGACAAAGGCAAATCTAGTTCTCTGGAGATGGACTCTGTAACCTTGAGATTGTTGATATTTTGCCACAATTTTGGTTCTCAGTCCTCAGACAAGTGTTCTCGTCTCCTCTTTCTGTTGTCCATGCTTAGTGTGGCACAGACAGACACACAATGCAAAGGTTAAGTGAACGTCCTCTCCTTTTTATCTGCTTTCAGGTGTGATTTCTATATTTGCCCACAACCTGTTATTACTTGCCCCAGGTGAGTTTACAGGAGCATCACATGCTTGTAACATTCTTATTTATCCGCAGTTGTGAAAGGGTGCCAATACTTTTGTCCGCCCATTTTTGGAGGTTTGTGTGACATTATGTCGAATTTGCTTTCTTTCCTCCCTTTTTTTGTTTTGTCCCAAATACACACAAAGGGAATAAAACATGTGTATAGCAAAACATGTGTTAATGCAATACGTTTCGTGAGAAATACATGATTTCCTGGAGAAATATCAAGGGTGCCAACAATTTCGGCCATGACTGTATATTTGTTTAGCACGTGCACATATGCTTTTGCACTATTAGTATAGAGTATACACAGTTATATATAGTGCAACATAGGTTATAACCGTGGCACCCATTAAGGCACTATTGCTTTAGGATTATTTACCATGCATGCTATCTATATGTATTATTTCATATGCATTTAGCGGTATAGTCACAGTTCATATTTGGTAATATTGTTATTTGATACACTTTAGAAGCTTAAGCTGTATATATAAATATATAGGAGCGCGGCGCAATCTTTTTTTCTATCAAGGATTGCACATAGCACATTATCGGACCTCTGAAAAGTATAAGCATGCATATGTACTCCAGTACTTGGTTTGGGCCCCTTTTGCAGCAATTACTACCTCAATGCATCTTGGCATGGAAGCTATCAGCTTGTGGCAGTGCTGAGGTGTTATGGAAGACCAGGATGCTTCAATAGCGGCCTTCAGCTCTTCTGCATTGTTTGGTCTCGTGTCTCTCATCTTTCTCTTTGGCAATGACCCATAGATTCTCTATGGGGTTTCAGGTCAGGCGAGTTTGCTGGCCATTGCTGGTCATTGAACCAGGTTTTGGTGCTTTTGGCAGTGTGGGCAGGTGCCAAGTCCTGCTGGAAAATGAAGATCCGCATCCCCATAAAGCTCACCTGTGGAAGGAAGCATGAAGTGCTCCAAAATCTCCTGGTAGACGGCTTTGTTGACCCTGGACTTAATGAAGCACAGTGGACCAACACCAGCAGATGGAATGGCTCCCCAAAATCAACACAGACTGTGGAAACTTCACACTGGACTTCAAGCATTTGCAGTGTGTGCCTCTCCATTCTTCCTCCATACTCTGGGTCCTTGGTTTCCAAATGAGATGAAAAAGTTGCTCTCATCAGAAAAGAGGACTTTGGACCACTGAGCAACAGACCAGGTCTGTTTTTCTTTAGCCCAGGTAAGACGCTTTTGAAGTTTTTTTGTTCAGGAGCTTGACAAGAGGAAAATGACATTTGAAGCCCATGTCCAGGATCCGTCTGTGTGTGGTGGCTCTTGATGCACAGACTCCAGCCTTAGTCCACTCCTTGTGAAAGTCCCCAACACTTTTTAATGGCCTTTTCCTGACAATCCTCTCCAGGCTGCTGCGGTCATCCCCTGCTGCTTGTGCACCTTTTTCAGGTCCACACTTTTCCCTTCCACATAACTTTCTATTAATGTGCTTTTGATACAGTACTTTGGTAACATCCAACTTCTTTTGCAATTAACCTTTTGAGGCTTTCCCTCCTTATGGAGGGTGTCAATGATGGATCTCTGTACAACTGTCAGGTCAGCATTCTTTCCTATCTATATGTATTATTTCATATGCATTTAGCGGTATAGTCACAGTTCATATTTTGGTAATATTGTTATTTGATACACTTTAGAAGCTTAAGCTGTATATATAAATATATAGGAGCGCGGCACAATCTTTTTTCTATCATTTATATACACACTAGCTAAGTGAGTCAGTGCAAGTGCCAGCGCACCTCATACACTTGTAGAACACATTGAACACCTCGATTCATAATAGCTCACAAGTATTCACCATAATTATGTGCAATCCTTGTTTTATTGATTGCATGTAATATTCTAAATTTTCTGAGATTGTGGATTTGGGGTTTTCATGAGCTGCAAGCCATAATCATCACAATTATGACAAATCACGGCTTGAACCATCTTGCTTTGCATGTAATGAGTCTATCTCATATATTAGTTTCACCTTTTAAGTTGCATTACTGAAATAAATGAACTTTTGCACGATATTCTAATTTTGAGTTTCACCTGTACAGCTGTGCTCAAAAGTTTGCATACCCTGGCAGAAAATTGTGAAATGTTGGCATTGATATGACTGATCATCATCCTTCAATAAAAGAGCATTTTTTGGCATGATCATAGGAAGCCATTTATTATCAAATAGTTGTTTGGCTCCTTTTTTAAAAATCAGAACAACAGAAATCACCCAAATGGCCATGATCAAAAGTTTACATACTCTGAAATGTTTGGCCTTGGTACAGACACACAAGGTGACACACACAGGTTAAAAATGTCAATTAGAGGACCTAACTGTATATATACACACACTCTAC